AGTGAGTGAGTGAGTTTAGGTTTACGCCACACTCAGCAATATTCCAGCTATGTGGCGGCGGTCTGTGAATGATCGAGTCTGGACCAGACAATCCAGTGATTAATAGCATGAATATCGATCTACACAATTGGGAACGATGACATGTGTCAACCAAGTCAGCGAGCCTGACTACCAGTTCCCGTCGGTCGCCTCTTACGACAAACATGGGTTACAGAAGATCAACTCTATCTGGGATCTTCACGGGTAAAATGGTGTAAGAATCTATACTAGCCACATAAAGAAACTGTGCACACAGAAAGTTCCTTCAGTATTGGATTACAACACAGAAAAGACGACATGATGTTGACACTTTACAAGCTGAAGTGTCGGGCCTCAACAACATGTCAAAAGAACATGAACAATATCCGTAACAATGACGTCAGAAGTTCAAAATTGAGTCGGGGGTCACACGTCGAAGTCACAAAGTCAATAACGGGTATGACCATCATGCGAGTGAAGCACAGCAGTGCATCGACGACGCATAGAGGTTACCAAATTTTCCAAATGAAGGCCTGGGGAATGGTTTTGGACGTGGTCCCTGCCGTCTGGAACCTGTGTCTGATATGAGTCACCCGAATCCATCTGTCCTGTCTTGGCGTCGTTACACGGGGACGCCCAGAACGTGGGTAGTCGGCGACGTCATTACTGTTTCCCTAACGCTTGACCAATGCAGATATCGTGTTACGATGGCATTGGAAATGTGCTGCCACCTGTTGTTGGCTCATGCCAGCTCGAACCATTCCAATGGCTTTATGACTTTGAGCACATGTTAATCTTGGCATCATGTGCATGTGACTTTTCATGTGAATTTGTGAACGTTTGAATGACCAAAGATCAAGCTTTCGAAAGTGACCTCAATTTCTGAGTTTCACATGTTGTGTGCAGCTGCACAGGCTGCACGTGCAGTAACACATTGCAAGTCCATAGGCCACCATCAATGACGTCACGTCGCCTGGCACCTGCATGAGCGTTTGATTGTCTCCAATACTTGCTATGTTCACACCTTTATTTATGCATAAAGACGCTGTTTTCCTATCTTTATATTTTCTGTGTGCACAGTTTCTTTATGTGGCCAGTATACATCGAAACGTCGCTCTAAGTAATAAACAAGAAGTTGTATGCTTCATTTTGTACCTTGCTGATCGTTTGTCATCATGTCCAGTGAAGTGGACCAATGTCTGCCTAATACAATCTGAATTACTTATTGTTCGTGGTAATGCTGCTGAAATTAGTGCGGTCGGAAGTGTAACAGAACATTCTCTCTCTCATTCCCTTTTTGTGTTAATGCTTCTCTTCTTATTGGTTCATACGGCTCACTGACTTGTTTGACACATTTCATCTTATCCCAGTTGCGTAGATCGATGCTCCTGCTGTTGATCACTAGATTGTCTGGTCCAGACTCGATTATTTCCACAACGCCGCCATATAGCTGGAAGATTGCTGAATGCGGCGTTTAACAAAAAAAGCCCAACAAAACAGTTAACACGACATGAGTAAGTATGCGTGATTCAGAGGCTCACTTAGAAAGACGTATCATGACACATGAATTATTGGTTAGCCATATCCATCTTGGTATACCTTTGCTAGCGATGTTGGAGGGATTTTATTCCAGTTTCCTAGAAGTACTTCTGATTATTACCCAAAAGATTCTCAATAGTTGCTTGGGGCCCAGTGGATTCCCCACATGGGTATAATCGGTGAAGCCCATTTCTGGTGTCCCCGGCCGTGATGTTGCGGGAATACTGCTAAAAGCGTTTCCATTTCAGATTTTAAGAGTGTCTTGTGTTCTTTTACAAACACTCCCATCAACTTCATATGGTATTTACGTTTTGCCCTTTTCTTCAGTCATGGGCCCTTATCTTAACATCGGCTTCAGTGATACATCCAAAACCGTCCGCATAGTTATTTATCGTTGTGTAGTTACAGGACAATATATTCCAGTATATATATTATTTCACATCCATACTTCAGCCCATTCCTCATTAAACCCTATTGTATCTTATACCTATTTATATTATATAATTATATATTTTACCTATTGTATAAATTATTTATTAATTTCTACCGTACTTGACGCCGTCAGTATCCATCTGATGAAGGAGCAACACAGGTTGTTGCAATGAATAAAATAGAAGGTGTTATCCATAATCACTGGTAGTCCTATATCTCCAACTTCTAAATGCCTATCCAGGAAGATTGTATTTGCAGACCTCATACTAATATGCTGAATGTGGTTTGCCGGCACCTGACTCGTGCACATGACGTGCACCAAAGGCCAAACGTTTCGTCTTGCGGCTTTCAATAGCAAATAATGTCGAAGGTGATTCTATGTATGAGACTACTTTGTATTATAAAGAGTTTGTGATAAGTGTTGTCCCTTTTGGAATATTGCCCAACAAAAGTACAAGTGTGCTGTGTTTCTTTTTTTCATATCGGAATGCAATGCCACAACATTTAAGCAGAGACCATATAATAGATTACAAGGAGCAAAGGTGTTTATATGTTTTCTTATGTCACACTGCTCTGTTGAGATAGGACCACGCGAGGAGTTCCGTCTCTATCGTTGAAAGCTACCGTACCATACGCCTTGGGCTTGCGGCTTGTGGGTCATGCCAGTGGGTTTGAAGCATATGCCTATAACGTATAGGGTTTTGGGGTAGCCTTGTGGTTAAAGCGTTCGCTCGTCATGCCGAACATCCATGTTCAATTCCCTACATAAGTACTATCTATCTATCTGTCTATCTATTCCCTACATGAGTAGACCGCCTCCGTGGTGTAGTGAAAGTTAGAGCGTCCGCCCGGAGAGCGGAAGGTCGCGGGTTCGATCCCCGACCGCGTTATACCAAAAGACGTTAAAATATGGTACTTGTTGGTCCCTGCCTGGCGCTCGGCATTATTGGGTACAACAAGGACTGGTCGGCTCGGAGTCAGTATAATGTGTCTGAGTGGGGTATTCATGCTTCACTGCGGCATGGTATCTCAGTGAGCTAGCACTATAAAACCAGTTTAAGTCTGGGCTAGTACAAGCAGCTGCACATACCCATACACACGCATGCACGTCGTCATATGAGCGAAATATTCTCAAGCATGACGTTAAACCCAATTTAACCTCACCTCACCTACATGAGTACTGTCCATCTGTCTGTCTGTCTATCTATCTATCTATGGCAAAGGTATATATAGAATAAACTATATGTATCCAGAATAAACTGCTGTGACGGGAAGTTGTATGCTTCACAGAAGTAATGAGTCCTTAGCTGTGATTTGAATGAATCCAGATCGTGACTTGACCTCAGATGTTGTGGGAGTTCGTTCACCAGGTGATGAAGGAGCAAGCATACACTCGTGTTATTCACAATAAAGAAGTGTTGACATCCATAAATCTTGCTTTTCTTATGCATTCCACTTCTAAATGCCCTTCAAAGATTTAAGGAAAGGTGTAATGATGGCTTCTTTGAGAGACACGGGAACACCCACCTTACTGAGCATTACGTTAACTGTGTTAGTCGGTCTTTACAGTCCCTCAACCTCAATATTTCCCCTAATGCCTAGCCCTCCCAATGCAATGCTAAAGCCCTGAATGAACAAGTCTAGATTTCCTCATGGTCAGGTTCTGAATCTCCCACCTCACCTAGGCTCCTTTTCCATTTTAAATTGATTAATTTGTTACTGTTAAAATTACATATATTCAGAGACTGAGCGTAAGTCTATTCACAAAACATTATGGGGGTAAACTGGCACCGCGCTACAACAAGCGTGTATACAGTCTGGGCCACGACCTGATTCCAGAGGCGGTGAGAGTTTTAAGCGCCTTGAAACCGAATTTAAACCCTGATACCCCATGCACTGTTATGAAACATTTTTGTCCTGATGTGCTTCTTCTCTCCCTTGCAGAACATTGGCTCAATGAGATTTCTTTGAGGGAGAGATTTCGCTGAAAGGAAAGGAAAACAGTAAGTACCGCCGAATAATAATATTGTTAAGGTCATGTCATTGGTTTAACAACTACTACACAGTTATAAGTTTTTTGTTTTTTATTTGTTTAATGTCGCACTTAGCAATATTCCATCGGTTTGTAAGGACAATCCAGTGATCAACATCATGAATTGGGATACGATGACATGTAACGATAGGTATCACGATAAACCTACTACTTCTTAACAGATACAGCACCTAGCAACAATGTATACTACCCATCAAAAGTTCAGACTCACTTACAACACTCACTATATGTTATGTAAATAGATATGGTCACATCGAAGATTGATTTCTCCACTAACTTGGGGGAACCAACTGCAAACCTTATGCAGATGAATTGCACGAGGATCATGCATCAAATTGCATAAAAGCACGTGCAAATATTGTGCATGTGAACAGATGTGTTTTGGTGTCAAGTTTTGTAAAGAATTTATCAATTTTCACTGAGTTTCATCATTTATGGAACTTATGACAACAATCTTTCAATGTTACAAATTTGTTTTACAATACATCAGTTCGTGTGTAAACTGTACCTTTAAACAGTATGGAATATTTTGCAAAATCTAGTTTAGAACAGTTGACTGAAGTAAGTGGCTACATTTACACTAGTGAGTCTAAACTTTGATGGGTAGTGTATTTGTTGTGGCTATTTGTTTCAGTATTCTGTGGCGCATTTTTAAGCATTTTCTATACCAGGCTATTTTTCTCGATCAAATCCCAGTAAGTTAAACTATATTATGTTTGGCTCAGCATGCCAAAGGAACTGGTTCGTTTCCCCGAAAGGGTGTCTAAAGCCCTCGTGTAGGGTCCCCAGCCGTGACATTGCTGGAATATTGCTGGAAGCTGCGTTAACCATGTTTACTCACTCATTCATCAACAACTGTAGATGACAATGACACACTATGAATCTCAGAAGCATTGTCGAGAAACGTAGTTGAGAGACGTGCTTATTGACGTGTGATCATGTGATACAGTGTATTTGCGATAGCCAGGGGCGTTATGGCGTGTTCTACTTTCCCAACAATACATGTCAGCTTGACAAGCGTATTCAATACCCACCTGTGTAAGAGGACAGAAACTTGAAGCAAAGTTAACACAAGTGCTGGAAACATTCACGGGAAGTAGACATCTTACTCCTGGGTATTTACAGAGAAACGAAGGTAGGTCTTTACTGCACACACAGACACACACACACACACGGTAGATAGATTGATACACACAGACACAGTCTGATACATAGAAAGATACAGAAAGATGAATAGAAACATAGAGATAGAGATCGATAGTGATAGATAGAGATAGCGAGAGACAGAGACAGAGAGACAGCCAGAGGCAGCGAGAGATAGTAGAAAGAAGGAAAGAGAGACAGAGAGGGAGAAAGAGAGGAGAGAGAGATTGAGATAGAGGGGAGATAGAGATAGCGAAAGACAGAGATAGGCAGAGACAAAGAGACAGCCAGAGAGGAAGCGAGAGATAGAGAGATCAGAAAGAGGGCAGAGAGGGTGGGAGAGAGAGAGAGAGAGGACAGAGAGAGAGAAACAGACAGACAAATATACAGACAGACACAAACACGATGTATAAGTCTGGTTCGTGACTTTCATTTAGTCCCTCCAACTGGTTTACAGATCATAACCTTCCCTGTGAATGCAAGTAGTTTCAATAGGGGGAGCGATGGTATGTGAATGTTTTGTGGTACATGGATATACACCCACGTATACGACAATCGGAAACAGACTTGCTTCTTGCAAGCCTACTTTGTATAACCTGTTGTGAGCTCCTTCCCATGAAAGTCAAACATACTATGGTCAAGAGGATCTGGGTAATTTCGCAACCTTTCACCGCTTTATAAGAACACTGGATGGTGTGTGAGGACGCGTATCGGGGAATGTTATGTCAGTAGAAGGGTAGTTTAGTATATTTCAACATGGCTGCTTTTGTTGACGTTATTAAGCCTACCGTATTGAAAATCCATTTAGGTTATGTCATGGCTTGTTTTCCAGAACCCGTGAAGATCCGTTTTAGAATTGATCTTCAGCAAGAGTGAGTTAGTTTTCGCCGCACTCAGCAATATTCCAGCTAAATGGCGGCGGTCTGTAAATAATCGAGTCTGGACCAGGCAAACCAGTGATCAACAGCATAAGCATCGATCTGCGCAATTGGGAACCGATAACATGTGTCAACCAAGTCAGCGAGCCTTACCACCCGATCCCGTTAGTCGCCTCTTACGACAAGCATAGTTGCCTTTTGTGGCAAGCATAGGTTGCTGAAGACCTATTCTACCCCGGATCTTCACGGGTCAGAATATGTTGAAAACCAAATGAGTTACAATAGCAGGCATAACATTAGTGACCCGCAGAGGTACAGATCAGCTGCGTATCAACGTAAATTACGCAAATACTTATATATGTTAAAACTCTTATTAAGTCTGTTGCGTACCAGTACGCTTGAATTTTTGTAAATACTCTATAAATGTGATTTTACTGAGGATAGATAAAATACCTGACGTATATTGAGAGCTTCTATATCAGCACATGAACTTGACAACTTATTGTCTTTCTTATCCTTTCTCATGTTACTGATCAACTATGAATAACAAACATGCAAACCAACATTTAAACTTAATAATATTTTTACAATTAACAGAAAATAGCAAAATATCCAGTTGAGTTTGAGTGAGGTGAGTACAATTTATTTGGTTGCTCAAAGGAAAATTAGGATACCCAATTGAGATGAAGACATGCGAGTACATAATTCAATGACCCCAAAGTTATCTGTAGCTCTGTCATTAGTTTGTGTCACGGTCCCGGAACCGCATTGTTTACAATTCTACCATCTCACTGGGGCTCCTTTTCAGTTTAAATTGAATGTGTGTTTCTATCAAAATTATATATATTCAGACAAAGCGTTAGTCTAGCATATCAGGTGCTTGTTCTATGATTGGAACCATTTCTGGATTATACTCCTTATACTCCATGGGGTGGCCTGGTAGTTAAAACATTCACTCTTCATGACGAAAGACAAGGTTCAATTCACCAAATGGATGCATTTCGAGAAGCCCATGACCGATGTCCACCCTCTTGATAGTATCTGAATATTGCTTGAATAGGTAAAAGTATACTCACTAACTTTTTAATAATTTAAAAAAATGTTTCAGATGCAGTTTTATGACATCCCTAATGTGTCTTTGACCATCCTGGTACTTCTCATGGGTACCATCGAAGGATTGCCAACTCAAAGTGGATCAAACATAAGTATGCAGCGGATGACCCAGAAAGTCTTATGCATGTTCTAATCCTAGTACAGTTCAGCCTCGGTTTAAATGATATAGGTACTGTTGGTCAAACAGTAGTCGGCCTAACAATATTTATATGTTTGAAAAGACTCCATTCTATTTGGAAGGAATCATTAGCAAAGCCATATCTAAAATTTCACATATGTGGGTAATGTGGATAACGAGATATTAGTCATCACAACACATTGAGGTATAATATTTCTAAAATATATAAAATGAAATAAGGTTCTGTCATTTGGTACCTCTTGGATAATGGTATGCCCTCACATAATGTGATATAAAATATGTTCAGTATAGTATTGGATGACTTCCCGTCATAATAAACAATCAAAGACTTGGATTGCTTGATTTATATTTAGACGGGGGCTGTTTCTTAAGGACACCCCCATTTTAATCTTTCAAAAACACCAGATCAGATATTCAAGCTGGCCCTTTTACCATATAGTGAGAGCTGAGAGCGATTGGATTTTCCAGTTGCCTTTTATGCACTCTAATATCTAAGCTTGATTCTAGCGACTTCTGTCTATCCCAAACACACAAAACGTTTCTTGCACATTTTGTTTCCTGAAGTTTGTGATGCATTTATTGCAGATCTTCGAACATAGCAAAACCAATTTGCTTGAGGTTGACAGATAACATGTAGAAATATCAAAAATGAAAACAGCTGCATTTGTGTCATTTTATAGGTGAGGCCGACTACTTTTATATCTAGTTCCAAAATGTTGTTAGTAGCCGTTAAGTCGTTTTATTCAAAACCGATATGTGAAGCATAGCAATGAATAATAGGGTGATGTAGCAGGGCGTTGCTCTCACTTCTGACTCTCCTGCATATTTCAGAACACAGTAAAGTTTTGATTCTCGGAGCCGGGGCGTCAGGTTTGGCTGCTGCAAAGACACTGAACGAAAAGAACATCAGCGACTTCATCGTCCTGGAGGGCTCGGGCAGGATCGGCGGCAGAGTCAGGTCCGTCAGATTTGGAGGCACCACAGTGGAAGCTGGTGCGAACTGGATGGCTGTTCGGGAAGGAAATCCTTTGTGGGATATCATTCGGAAGTTCAACGTGTCTGGGAAGACATCAGACGGCGACAGTGTGGTCATAAGAACGTATGAAGGCAGTGACGTCACGGACACGGAGGGTGAGTTGGCATGGCGTAAACTTGCGAAAGCTGAGATCAAGTTAAACAGTGTTATCAAGAGAATGCAAGATCAAAAGACCGAGGACATGTCCCTGCGCTCTTGCCTTGACATCGGAAATTGGCATCCGAAAACACCCGTGGAAAAGGTTGTGGAGATTTATGGCTTTGACTATGATTATGGAGCTATTCCCGACGTTTCTTCGTGTTATTACCACGGCAGACTAGAGAATGTGGATGACAGTTTCTACGTCCGTGACGACAGAGGATATGAGTTCATATTGAAGAAATACGTAGAGAACGCGCTGCCAGAGAACGATCAACGAATTCTTCTGAACGAAACTGTTACTGCGATCAACTACACTGACACCAGCGTGTCTGTAACTACCGTCAGCGGGAACATCTTCGTCGCCGACTTCGTCATCGTTACCTTTAGCATCGGAGTGTTGAAGAGCGGTTCTGTGACTTTCAATCCTCCGCTACCAGACTGGAAGATCGACAACCTGTTCCGAGTCAGACTAGAGAACTACGAGAGCGTGTACCTTAAGTTTCCCGATACAACGTCAAGGTTCTGGGATGACACCGAATTCATCCTCTACGCTGACAAAACACGAGGAGTGTATCCAGTTTGGCAGAACCTGGAGGCTGAAGGATTGTTCCCGGTTGGAACTAACATTCTCCAGATAGTGACCTACGGTGAGGAGGCTAGCAGAATAAGTCGGCTTACTGCCCGTGATGTAAAGGACGAGGTGATGACGATACTACGGAGAGTCTACGGTAATGTCACGGAACCTGAAGATGTATTCATTACGGGCTGGAAGAACAATCCATTGTACAAGGGATCCTACTGCAATATGGAAACAGGAGCACAAAGTCCCAGAGTGGTCGAAGCTATAACGGCACCCGTGGGGAGGATCTATTTCGCTGGGGAAGCGTATAGTAGGGATGTGTCTTGTTACGTAACTGGGGCTGTTCAAAGCGGAATCGTCACGGCAAAGAAGGTAACCAAATGTTCGAAAGGAACGTGCGAGGTTTATGATTCGGGAGAAGCAGGTCCGAGTACCAAGACCCCGACGGTTGCAGCGTGTCCTTCTGGCGGGTCCTGTCAGGACGGAGGAAAATGGCCGTGCTTGTGTGCATGGTGATGCTTATTGTTTCATGCACATAGTTACTTAAGATAGAGACAGTATATATGTATATAAATCTTACATATAATTGGAATACTAAATGAATATATTGGAAATATCATTCACATGTCTGCATTAAAACCCAACTCTTGCTGAATATTGCTTTGCCGCTTGTTGAATTCTTCGTTGCAAGAACATGCTTATTGGTACCAGTTATGAAATGTACACATTCATAGTTGGACCTTCTGAAACATCCCTTCACATAAAGCTGAAGTTGACTTTCAGAAAGTTCAAGTAATCCCTTTTGTCATAATGTCTTGTAGAAAGTGTTTTGCCACTGTCGATCTTAAAACATACATCTAAAGTCGAAAACACAGGCCGTTCCACCTTGCCTCTTTTACTTTATTGGTAAATCAGTGAAGTGAGTGAGTGAATTAGTTCAGTTGTACGCCGCTTTTTGCAATATTCCTACAATATCACGACGGGGGACACCAGAAATGGGCTTCGCACATTGTACCCTTGTGGGGAATCGAACCCGGGTCTTCGGCGTGACGATCCAACGCTTTAACCACTTGGCTACCCCACCGCCCCTCACGTTAATGCCCCACATGGGAATAACTGACTATTGTCAGTGCCACGGTGCCGGAATGTCATAAACAATCTAGTATTCTAATGTTAAAAATTGTGTATATGTTCACAGTTGTATTACTGTCAGCTAATTGCATTAACATTATAAAACATTAAACAGCCTACTAACCTTGACAGATCTTGGACAGTCAAATACACAACAAACGTTTGATTAAATCAGTCACCGAGTGAATGGGCAAAGAAAATATAACAAATTCTCAATAAAATAAGATAAGATTCAACGGAGTTTTATACCAACAAAGGTTAAAGAAAGTTACTAGGTCCACAAGGTAATTGACAACAGCAAACAGTGAAACACGTACCTTACCTAAACTAGACAATCACGGGAAGGTTGGTTATATACGGATTTCTGAAAAGACGGGACCTAATAAACCATAGCTAAACGTTTAGCTCAATAACACCAAAATAAGTAACTACTTTGAGAGAAAACTAAGAGGACTTCAGAGGAGACACTGTCTCTAGGCGAGCCGCGGTAAGGCTATAACCTGATGCAGGAACCAAAAGGTGTCTCTTTACAAAGGAAACACCCGAATAGCAAACTAAATCCAACTCCAATGTAGAAGGTGTATATGCCACAGTATGGAGCAGAACACAAGCTACCCAACCAACATTACCACTAAACAATTACATTCAGCTATGTACAATAACTGAGAAAACAAAAATGACCATACGTGAAATATCAACTAGTACGAGATAATTCAGCCAATACTTAAAAATCAAAGTTACAAAAGAGTTTTAATACACGAATGAGGTAGCATACACACATGAAATAACCCACATCGAGTACATACATGATGAAAGTACGCGATACCTCGCAAAGCAAAAGATGTACGAACACTAAGCCTCCCGGATAGTAATACTTAACGTACAGTCCGCGACAAACGCTGGAGTTCGCCGACCGTTTTCTGAAACAGTCTCCGTGCTGTAATGGTTAGAGCGTCCGTCCGAGAGCGGAAGGTCGCGGGTTCGACCGCCAACCGCGTCATACAAAAGACGTTAATATATGGTATTTGTTGGTCCCTGCCTGGCGCTCGGCATTAATGGGTACAACAAGGACTGGTCGACTCGGAGTCAGTATAATGTGTCTAAGAGGGTATTCATGCTTAACTGCGGCATGGTATCTCAGTGAGCTAGCACTATAAAACCAGTTTAAGTCTGGGCTAGTACAAGCAGCCACACATACACACATGCACGTCGTCATATGAGCGAAATATTATCAACTACGTTACACCCCACTTCACCTCACCTAAGAAACAGACCAATCAGCTATAGGAGGGCACTGGACCATGTCATGGGAACTCTACGGCCTGGTGACAGTCAGCAACAGAGACGTCAACAAACATCCTGGAAGTCAGTAATCTATATTTATAAATAACTGAATAACCCGGTTTATGTTACAAAATATCTGCTGGCGCTGCGATTTGCAATGTTCACATGTGTGTGCTAATGAGTCGCAGTGCAACAGGTTGTGAAAACTAACCATCCACGTGACGCCCATATTAAGTCATTTCCGTTGTAGTTCTGCTGGACGAAGGAACACCATCAGGACTTTGTGGACGACTTGAGGGCATGATCGATCTAGTTTAGATCACACCGACCTCCGATTACCTCTGTATGGAACCTGAGAAGGTAAGTAAGGATAAACCTGCACAATACCTGATCGATACATAGACTATTCCCCCCTTCCTTTCTGAACTGTATCGAACGTTGTGATATCTTCTGAATGGAATTTTTAGGGGATGGTGCCTTCCGACTATTATTGTCCTGACTCATTGTGTTGACAACCCAAACTACATTATTTAAGAAGTAAAGTACTCCCTATGTGTAGTGTAAAGAAACATAGTTTTGCATTAAAGTATAATAGTCGAAGCGCAAGGACATTTTACATTGCCACTAGAAAAACCAAAACCAAAGGATCTCAATGATCAATCAAATCAACTATGTTATACATCCAAATTGATTTTGCAAAAGTTTTCGTCGCTCAGATACATCGTGAAGATATGGATCTAAAGCATTTACTATGGAATATCAGTTGTGATAAATCGTTTACATATAAACCGTACATGTATGCTTTGTGAACCTGTTTCTGACATAATATTCTCATCACGTTATATCTGCATTGGAATACGGCCAGCATAATACACAGGTACATTGTACTGACGTTCCCTTGCATGGGATAATGACGTTCTGCATGCACTCCTTGCTTAATGATGGGTTGTTAGGGTATCATTAGATATACGCATTACAGTTTAGACGTAAGAGCAAGTTTTGAGTTGCGGGTGCAACCGGTGGAGCAAGACATGCTTACCTGTTTCATGAACTACTTATGTCATCACTTATTTTCAGTGGTCGTTCCGTTTAATGTCCACCAAAGATGTTTCCGCAGACAGTCGAGATTGGTTATTTTTCTGGCGTTGCGGTTTCACAATTTGTAAACCCGTGAAGATCCGGGTTAGAATTGATCTTCAGTAACCAATGCTTGTCGTACTTATGGGATCGGGTGGTCAGGCTCGCTGACTTGGTTGACACATGTCATCGGTTCCTAATTGCGCAGATCGATGATCATGTTGTTGATCACTGGACTGTCTGGCCAAGACTCGATTATTTACAGACCGCCGCCATGTAACTAGAAAACATTTGCGGAAGAGTCTTAGCCACTATCAAAGATACCTTTCCTGGCCTTTTACTATCGTGGAATGAATACGAATTTGCAAATAAATGATTAACATGAAATAAATTCACTAAAACTGAGAATACCCCACAACATGCCATCTTGTGGGGTGGCGGAGGAACGTGTTGTAATAGACACAACATATCAACACATTATCTACAGCCTCCGAAAACCTTCAATGAAAAGATCAGTTTTCAATGCACCTATACTATTTAGGTAGCATATATTCATATGTTTTGCTTTTCTCAATGTTCTATTAAACTGTCCTATTTACCTGAACGTCGCAAAAGTTTTACTAACTATGGGTAATAAAGGGGCTTTTTATAATTAACTGGCTTGAATTCAACTTCAGTTAAATAATAATACCATATAATCCTTGAAAGCCTTCACAAGTTTAGAATTACTGTGCAACAGGGCATGCGGCCATAAACCAGAGTCTACCCATCCTAAACATGTCATGGTCGCCTTCCTGCTTTGCGTGCACCGAACACAGTATGCAAAAACACTGGCTTCCATTTGTGTTATCTCATTTCAAATTACATATGTTTTCTTTTAATTTTTGTGAAAGGATCACATGCCTTTGTTTAGTACACAGTAATAGTAATAGTCCGCTTATATGGCGCTCATATCCAGGCACATTGCCTGCTCACGGCGCTACGTACATTACTACCCCGGTCATAAGACACTATCGTACTTTCCGATACTTTTCCAACTCCCTGGGAAGCATACAGCCACGCTGCCTGTTAGGCGCAATGAACTTAACACTCGCATTGACAGCTGCATCCTCACGGGTACCCATTTTACAGCTGATTGAACTGAGACAATGTGGACCTAAGTATCTTGTTCAAGGATACTACCCGAATGTGCCCACCTCGGGACCCCAACCTAGATGCCTCCACCAGGGATCGAACCCAGGCCTTCAGCGTGATAGGCAGACGCCTTACCACTGCACTATTGCGCTCCACACAGCGAACAGATTGCGAACAGAGATCAAAGGTTGGGCTGCCATGTGTGATTAAACCAACAAGAAAGCAAGAGCAAAACGCAATGCTTGCTGGGAAGCAGCGTCAGATATTATAAACCAGAGCCAGCGGACAGAGGTGCTGAAGGAACATGCAAAAATGCAGAAGGTGCGGGTGGCGGGGCAGAACCAGGAACATGAGCAGAAGAAGCAGGAACAGGAGCAAGAACATACGCAGGACCAGGAGGAGAAGGAATAGCAACAAACACGGGAGCAGAATGAGCAGGACCAGGGACAGACGGAGCAGGTACAGGAAAATAAACTGGAGCAGAAGAAGGAACAGCAAACCGAACTGTTCAGGAACACTAACAGAAGGAGCAGAAATAGGAGCAAAAGGAACAGGAACAGAAGCAGGTACATGATTAGATGGAGCAGGAACAGGAACAAAATGAGCAGGAACAGGGGGGCAAAAGGTGCAGGAACAGAATCAGGAGCAAGAACAGAAGCAGGAACACGATTAGAAGGAGCAAGAACAGGAACAATACCAGGAACAGGAACAGGAACAGAAGGAAAAAGGGACATCAACAGATGCAGTTGCAGAAAGAGGAACATGCAGAGAAAACGATGCAGGAATGGAAAGAGGAGCAGGAACAGATGCAGGACGAGGACCAGCAGCAGGATCAGGATCATGTTGCTCATAAGTATATGTTGCTAAATTCTCTGAGTGTACTGTAGCCGTCCACGACGAGGATTTAATGACTGAGGTAACAGTATATAGATAAGAATGTTCTACTGCAATTGAGTATAATGAATAACCATGAACACATTATTCATACACTCCGAATATGTTTTATCACTGATGCATATTTATTCTGTAAAAAGGGGAAAGATATTAATGTTACATATTCATTTGTTCGCCAGAACCAACGCACTGATATATTATGGTGCAAGTCAACATAGAGAATGGCACAGATATAATTTTCTTCAACACCAGATGAAAGGGTCGTATGCCGTTATTTGAAAGAGCATGCTCGTTTGTGGCCCAAAAGTTGTGGGACTTGCTGGAACATTGCTCGACATCAAGGGAAAACTGACGTCGTCGTTCTTGTTGGAAGTCTTGTTTTGTGTTTTAAGTCCCACAACTTGTCTTGTTTTGGTTTTTCATAATCTTAATGTATACCTCAATATAAAACACATAAGGTTGTTTACTTTGTTTCTAGTTCAGATGGGTAAATCAGTTGAAGGGAATTTGCTATTTGATGGTTATTGCTATCAGATCATCGACTTACCTGTAAATTAAGTTAAAGTGCTGATCTAAAAAAACACTTTTACTTTGCCGAATTTATGTGATACAGATAGAGATACATCAATCAAGTGTGGACTAACAGTTAAGAATAACCCATTTGACATAGTTCAACAATTCCTGGAAATCACAGCGTGATACGTTCATCAACCTGAAATCTGATACGTTTGTGTAGGACAGCAGAAACTGGTTCAACACTGCTGGATAATACAGAACACTAAGCCAGAATCTCTCGATGTGTGTATACTGTATGTTTAAGGACAGCACATGGACATTTCCTCAAATGGACATTTTCGGTACATGAACGTTTTCAGTCTACATGAATGAGGGGAATGGATTGTGTCATTTTGTGTTACAGTGGACAATATGCCGTCTTTGATCGTGTTACAGCTAAATATGATTATTAAATTAAATATTTCAAAATGGCTATTAGATTAAAGTAACTGAAGCTAGCGGTGGTAACTAAACACACAGACATATAACATAGCAATACAATATGACTTATGTCTGAATATTATCTCACGACAGAAGATGTCTGTGTATCCCTAAGGGATCTTATGTACGAGCAATTAGTGTAATGCTGTCATACATTGTAGTAGGTCATTCTCTGCAGTCTATCTCTTCACAGCTGCTCTCAAGCGAATGTTCTACTTGTCAGGAGAAACAGTATATAGCCTTCTTTAAGACTGATATCATCACTGCAACACGCTAGTTATTGGTGAGTGTCGCATTTACCTTTGTGACTTCTGTTGTATTTGAACGCTGTGCCAAAGATGAACCCTGTACTTTATAACTGATTGTAGTATTTGAGAAATAATGTATTATTTCAGTTCACTTGATGATACCCAGGAATCCAAATCCTTAATGGCGACTTCAAGTAAGACTTCAAGTAAGCTGCAGAAACAGAAACTTTGGTTATTACTGGTAAGTTACTAGCCACATTTTCTGGCTTGCCCAAGGTTGGACAGTCTCCATCCAAACCCTTTCTATGATCATGCGGATACAGCGTTTTGAGAAAAAGTGTGTGTGTGTGTGTGTGTGTGTGTGTGTGTGTTTGTGTTTGTGTGTTTGTTTGTTTGTTAGTGTGTGTGTGCAGGGGATCCGCCTTTGCATAGAAATCCATGTAAAACAAAAAAGTCCACTGTAAGACTCCGACTCGATCATAAGCATGTACGTATGAACCCCTATCAAACAATTATGATACCAGGTGTTCGTGAAAAGCTGAACCTAACTTGCTTCAGGAAAACAGTAAAACATTTGACACAGGACAACGTAGAGAATTGCATAAGGGCATCATGGTCGAGACTAACGTTTTGAATGTAACCCTGTTCATACAACATTGCGCCATATTACGATACCACCACAAAGGGAGAGCTGACTGTTGGAGAGTTGGAGTAAGGGACCGTTTATAATTTATGGCTTGGGGAGGCGCGCGTTCTGCTGAGGTAGGGTGTCATCAATTATGTACACATGCACTGTACATATAAATGTTGAAAAGTTATGCTGCCAAAATATCTGAAGGGGGGTGGGTGGGGTGTTTGTGTCATTGTTCTTGCACTTACTTTGCACATAAGTTTCACATTATACATGCTTCTCAATTTACGTCACTCTGAATCTTTACGCATAGATCTGAATATGAATCAGTATATTTCATTTCTTGTTCAGCTTGGTAATTTGGTGGAAACGAAATGACTGACTGACTGAGTTGTTTTTTTTACGCCGCTTTTAGCAATATTCCAGCAACATCACGGCGGGGGACACCAGAAATGGGCTTCACACATTGTACCCATGTGGGGATTCGAACCCGGGTCTTCGGCGTGACGAGCCAACGCTTTAACCATTAGGCTACCCCACCGCCCGGTGGAAACGAACTAGTTATTTCAACTTTTTCTGAATGAAGATCATTGATATACCTGAAGTTAAAGTTAAACTTCTCGCAAGATTCTCTTGTTTTGATTTTGTCTACCCGAGGTGAATTCCCAAGAAATGAGCAAGGACTGTTGCACGATTGGCGTCCTTTGGTGTCCTTACCTCTTGCCATATGTCCCATCAGCAAATGTCAGATCGATGTCATCCATGAGGATGTCAATCAACTAATTTAATTTTATACAAATTGACCTCCTGTAAGATAGGGCTGTCACTTCATCTATTGACAAATGACTTTCCTTAAGTATACCAAGTTGAAATATCAAATGCTTTTTAACATAACTGAACTTGGATCTTTGAGAATCCACATGATATTAATTCCACTTGTCTCAATTCTATTACTATAATTAAGTCGTTCCTTGATTGTTAGACCATAAGATTACTCTTTGAGACAAAAGTAAGGAGTTGCGCAGCAATATATCTCTCTTTGTACTGAATTGTGTAGAACTTCCTATGTAAAAATAGGAATGGAGATGTCTGCTGGTTTGAAAGTTCAAGTAAGAGTCGATAGAGCTGATGCGCGGTTTTGGATGGTTAAATTCTCTCTTACCAACGTTTTGGATGATTAAATTCTGTGTCACCAAGGTTTTGCTCGTCACGATATGGCTGAAATATTGCCGATGTGACGTTAAATAATAACTCACTCACTCACCAAGGTTTTGTATGATTACATACTGTAACGTCACTGTGATGAAACATTGAATGTTATGAGTCTATATAATATTTGAGAATTGTCATTTCTACTTCATACAGAAACGAAGAAACCAATACCAAAACAACTTTATACTATCATTCTACCAACTCTGAGCCATGAACGGCAACCATTATTTCAACATACACTACTTATATTCCGCAGATAATGTCTGTTGGTGTGGCGCTTCTATGCATGTATGCTGAGATCGTGGCCAGTAAATTCATTCAGCCTGTTGGAAGAGACGTACATGCTCAAGGGTCAAGTGAAAGGACATCCGTTGGAAGGACTAGTACGCATCATGATTCCTGTCTATTACAGCAGTACTTAGACTTGATACTTTCCTTGATGGATACTAGTAATATCGCCCCGCGATTGATGATCAGTGTCGCTAAAACTGACAGATCTTACCATCACTTTACTATCAGGAATGCGGGGCTGAAACTGCAGTGTATACAACCCTCTTAATTCAAAGAGCCTTGCCCTAGGACACATATATACTGGACAAAATAAGTTAGGTATATTTATGATTGATATTTTATCAGTGTGTCAATGAATAAATATATTGTTATTGATAATTTCAAAATTTACATATATCCCTAACTATTTTTGTCCAGTATAGATATAAAATGTGAATTATGTTCATATATAACAGTTATTTTGATGGTTGAGGAGACAATTTGGGCCACAAAAAACTGTGTGCAAGTGGTTTTCGACTTGGGTTCTATGTAAATGAGGGCCGCATGTATCAACATCCCGAAAAATATAATAGTGAGGCACTTTCTTCAAGAGGGCATGTGGATATTTTGACAGTATTGTCTTAACAATACTTGCCTGAAACAAAAGTCCCCACTTATCTTACACGCAAAACACATTATAACGACGAAAATAACAAAGGTGTGTCAGGAAAAGTCACTTGTACATGGGCGGATGTTGTTAATATAAACTAACAATGTTGCAGATTGGGCCAAGGTGCTGATTCTCGGGGCTGGAGCAGCAGGAATGTCAGCAGCCAAAGAATTAACACAAAATGGCATCACAGACTTTTTAATGATCGAAGGCTCCAATAGGATTGGTGGCAGGTTAAAATCCGTTCGCTTTGGTGGAAAAACGGTCGAGGCTGGAGCGAACTGGATGATGGTTAGGAATGCCCGAAACCCACTATGGCAGACAATACAGAAGTACAACATCTCAGGCCGAACACTTGATGAAAAAGATGTGTTGATAAGATACATGAATGGTGAAGATGTAACGACGACTGCGGGTGCAAAGGCATGGGAAAAACTGTCGATAGCAAAGGAAACGATGTCGGAGATTACAACCCGGATGACAAGTGGTGCTCAAAGTGACATGTCCATCAGGGCTTGTCTGGGTCTGGGAGAGTGGGAACCTGTAACTGCCGTGGAGAATGTGGCGGAGGTTTTCGAATACGACTTTCAGTATGGCAATACTCCCGAAGTCTCATCCTGCCGGAGTGATGGAATCCTGCAGCAATACCTCGACGGTATGTATTACATTGCGGACGAGAAAGGGTTCGAGTCGGTCATCAAGAACGTAGCAGACGAGATTTTTGAACAAAATGACGAACGATTGATTCTGAATGAAGTTGTACACACAATCAACTACACAGACTCTAATGTCGTTGTTGAGACAAGTAGTAGCACAATATACATATCAGAATTTGTTTTACTTACGTTCAGTATAGGTGTTCTCAAAAGCGGATCTGTGATATTTAATCCTTCGCTGCCGGAGTGGAAGGTAGACAATTTGGCAAGAGTGCGATTTGAAAATTACATGAGTATATTCCTGAAGTTCCCAGACAATACGCGTCAGTTTTGGGATGACGCATTATACATTCTTCACGCCCACGAGAGAAGAAACTTCTACCCAGTGTGGATTAATCATAATTCCGATGCCATGTCAACAGAGGACACGAACATTCTTCAACTTGTTACATTTGGAGAGGAAGCCGACAGGATAAGCAAGATGGACGATGCTGAGATTACAAAAGAGGTCATGGAGGTCTTGAGAAAGGTGTACTGTAAAGGCAATGTTTCTGAACCGGAGGATGTTTTAATAACTCGATGGAAAACAGATCCGCTGTACCAGGGAAGCTTTGCCAATGTGCAGCCTGGAATTCCACTAGAGTCTTTGGGTACCATTTCAGCACCCGTTGGACGATTACACTTTGCAGGGGATGCTTACTCTGAGTTTGATGGATACGTTGTGGGGGCAGCCATAAGCGGGGTGGAAAGTGCCAGAAGGATTTTGCAAACACTCCGTGATGGTGCGAATTCGTAGAAGAAAGTCATACACATTTTACTATCAGGAGACTCATTTTTGTCACAAGTCAGCAGGCCTTTTCCATACAAGTAAATATACAACGAAATCAGTGGCGAATACAAATGGAATTTCAAATTTAGTATTTTACCTTAAACCATCGTTTTACACCATATCAATAATGCATTCCTAATTTTGAATAAGTAATATCTTAGAAAACGTTTGATTTCACTCTATATCAAGTAATACCATCGAAACAGCACATACAGCCGAAACTACACGTGCAATCAGGGTATATAAATGATAGGACCGCGTGTGAGACAATCGCAAGGAGTAACAAAGCATAACAGGGAATACCTCGACTGACATCGGAACAAAGCAAGCAAGCCCTGGGTATGATACAGATGAGAGCTACCCAAGGTAGCCACGGCTAATAAATACCGGTACTTGCGTGTTTTGTGTATGGATCATATGGTTGGTCCTGCCCCCAGTCAACAGTTCTTGACAGTAGAGCATCCATGTCAGAGATTGAGAATTGACTGTACGTCGTTGACAGCGACGTGACTGGTAGAGGGTTGTCTTCGCTGACGAAAGCCGGTCTGTTCTGTCTGTTGTTTAATGCCGAACAGGAGAATGAAAGGCGGAATCCTGCGTTCTGAGATGTCATGGATCGTCGAGTTCTACAGCGGCAAATTCTCCATCCACTCGACATGAGCTGATCTAGACCGGTCAAGGTGAAAGGCGACGTATCCCACATGACGTCGTAGTTTGTAGTCGAGGGTGGTCATTCACGCTGTTAACGCGACGTGTAATTGAACTTGAGCTATTTAAATTTTAGATTAGATTTTGGTCTTTTCAATACATTTTACTTCATGTGCCTATTGTCTGTGGTTTTTAAACGAAATTGTGTTTTTTGAACTACAGCTTTTTTCAGGTTTGAAAGGGTGAACAATAATTGAATCGCCTCAGTACGTGTGGTTTTCATTATATATGACACCTCATTATCCACACACTGCTTATGCGTGACATGCAACGTTTGTATTATACCAGAGAGCGAATACATCTTGCGACGCGTTTAACGTTTTACAGAAATGACAACAGGCCGATAACGAGACACACTCTCAAATATATAAGGGAATTCTTGATTTGAGTGCAGCTTTTGTTGAGTTCTAACTTACATTACCGGTGTGTGTGTGTGTGTGTGTGTGTGTGTGTGTGTGTGTGTGTGTGTGTGTGCGCGCGCGCGCGCACAAACGCAATAGTCACATTAAGCTGCACTTGCTCACACAAGCCAGAGAGTGTTGGTTCTCTAATGACACTCGCTAATGCAACTGAGTAAACATCACGCTTGAAATGAAATAACTCTGAGATATTACTTCCATGAACAGAAAACTGCGTTTCGTGGGTACTGTAGAGGAGGGACCTCAGTATGTGAGATATTGCCCGAGAGTATATTTTCTTGACTGTGAAATAGGTACTGTAAGTCAATGAGCCGGTCAGACCTAAAGAATGACACCTGGACAAGTCGTCACATAACATTAACTAGACTTTGCACTAGATTAAAATCTGCACCTGTCATAGAGAATTTCGTGCAGTAGCAGAGAAAGACAAATGCAACATGAACACATGCCGTTTAACTTAGTGCAGGGCTACCTACCCGTGAAGACCCGGGTTAGAATTGGTCTTCAGCAGCCCTTGCTTGTCGTAAGAGACGACTAACGGGATCGGGAGGTCAGGCTCGCTGACTGGGTTGACACTTGTCACCGCATCCCAATTGCGGAGATCGATGCTCATGCTGATGATCACTGGATTGTCTGGTTCAGACTCGATTATTTACAGACCGCCACCATATAGCTGGAATATTGCTGAGAGCGGCGTTAAAGGTCACATGCAACCAAAAAATCAAACATAATTAAAAAACAATTATCACTTATTCGTGACATATAATATACATTGCTGGTTATGAAAAAACATATAAACAAAATTATAAGCGTACAATCGCAAATCAAAAGTGCAATATTGTGTACTTCGGTTTACTTCCCAAGAACCGAAGCAGCCGGGATACCGAACCCAGCCAGAGCGGGTGGGTGTGCACTCAAGTGTAACGGCTGGTTCATTTGCGTATGCCCTCACGGCTTATTGTGTGTGTATATGTAGAGATGTTGGGTTTTGTAAATACATGCTCATTTTTTGTGTATAACATTTTGCAATCAACAGACATCATAACATGTCAAGTGTTCAACTATCACACCTGCCTGTCTGTGTAATTACATGATGTGACAGAGACCAAACTCGGGCCATAAATCAATGCATTTTGTTTATGGTGTATAGCCTGATTGGTGTTAAGTTCAAATTGCATGTGGTCAGTGATAGCAGCTGTGTATTAAATATTGTCATTAGCAGACAGGCAGACACACAGATGTCAATAAAACAAGACATTGAGTTTTGTCTGTGACAACGACATATCTATATCACAGTTAGAAATTCTGTCAACGCTAAATAATGACATTGCTTTTAAGTATCGAACTGAGAAAGTGACTCGGTAAGAAGAACGTGTGGTGAAATTATATAAACAGTTATTTACTGTCATAACATATAAAAAAGCTCTCGCCTGTGAGATATCAACAAAACATTAGAAAAATAGCTCAAACCAAAGCCTTCACCGAGTATTCACCGGACAACCCGCTTCCAAGCTGCGCGAACCTATTTCACTGCGCACGTGCTATGAGCGCAGCCCAGCTGTTGAAACCCGTTTTCCCCAGAAAAGTCTGGGGAAAATTAGTGAAACGTTTGAACTCCGATTTCGCGCATTTTTTTTCAACTTTATAAGTTGAATTTGCATTTTTTGACGATTTGTTTCGTTAAGTCCATATATTTTGAACAGGAAGAACTTCTTTATAGGCTGAACGGCGGGCAATACGAAAGACAACATAAGCAACTAATCAACCGTAGGCTATCATGGCGTCGTGTATATGTGTCTCCCAACATGGTGGCCCCGACAGGTATTGTTCTCCAATCAACATTGATCTATCGTCTTCAATAAACCTTCACTGACATTGCTTCGGTTCCAACTTGTCGGTATATACCTTCATACTGAGAAAACGTTTACGAACGCTTCGATACTTACGTGAACACTCATATGTGATCAAATATCTTTCTGTGACATAGACCTACGCACAGTACGAAGCATTCGTAAAATCAGTGTTTGTTCCTTTACAGAGAAAGCATCGTAACTATTATTTTTATGTACCCGTGAAGATTCGGGTTAGAATTGTGATAAGAGGCGACAGATGTCCTCGTATCCCAATTGCGTAGATCGATGCTCATGATGTTGAGGTATTGATCACAGGATTGTCTGGTCCAGACTCGTTTATTGCCAGACCACAGCCATGTAGCTGGAATATTGCTGAGTGCGGCATTTAACAAACAAATAAACAAAAACACACACACACTTTATTCTTATGAATGAGTGGGATTCAAGGCGGTTTTGAAAAATCGTCAGGTTACATACCTGGACTGAGAGTTTGCTGATGTGACGTTAATTAGTATCTTGCCCTTTCATTCCTAAAGTTAGTACTGTCATGCGTAAGGAGAGAACATATGTATATTCTAATCTTCACAACTACATGTATTACTAGAACAAACAAGATCGTCAGCGAACTAGAATTAAGTAGTCACAGTGGACATTTTCACAACACGGGGGAATCAACTGAAGGGTCAAAACAAATGCATAAAGATATTCGTTCATACGCAGAGAAGCGGCCGCCAAATCAATTGACCTATTATCGTCATTTGAAACCTCTAAACTAAACTAAAATCATTCACTCACTCAGTACGTACAGGTGTCATCACCTAGTTGTTTCAAAGAATAATGAAGGTTCATGAATAACGGTACATCCATGAGTTTGTTATTTTCCCTGTAGGATTTACCTATATGCGAGTGTATAAGTAACAATACACTTTATAGAAAATGAACGTTTTTTTGAGTGTCAAAGTTATACTTTTATCGTCTCTGCTTCTCAAGGAGTGAGGGTATGTTTTAAGCCGCTTTGAACAGATGCACCAAGACGTGTCTTCTTGATGCAGGTAGAACGCCCAAAGTGATGCAGGCTCCAGACGTTTACCACTGTGGTAAAACTGTGATGCTGACAAACGCAAATACGCAAACAACTAGGGTTGCTCGGAATCAAACCCACGATCGTATGCTTTGGGGACGTCTTAGACTCAGTCACCCGTGACTTCTCGTCACAAGAACGTATTAATACACGTCGTCATAGTTACGTTTCCAGTAAATATTTAAAATAGCAGCTGATATATTTACGAGGCACTGGTGTCCGACACACTGAGCCACGACAACTAGTATATATATGGTGGCCGTAATGCTCAGTCACCTTGAATGCAATTCGATGTTTTCTTTCAAGTTGTTAGGCAAAGCACATTCGGGCAGAGCGATAATTGGTTCCTGAAATGATTTGCGTTTCCTGGGAAACGGCGAAACATGACTACTATCACTGAGCTCCATTTGATAATGCACCGTTAGTCTAGAGACCCAAATTCCGGCAACCTCTTTTGTTAACATCCACGTGGGATGTTTCTCTTGAAGCTCGCCCACATTTATTTGTTTTCTTTGAGTCACATTCGAGACTTTCACAAGGAGAACGTCCTAATACGCAATCCCATATTGATTCTGACGTTCTAATACTGCCGTTTCTATTGCTTTCAAGGATTATTGTGAAAGGGTGCGCTTGGTAGGCACGTCCTACGGATTGGCTGACTTAAATGGATGGAAGGTGTATTTGGATAAACCTTATTTCAAGCAGTGAATTGGATGTTATGTGAAATTGAATTACACGGCTTTTCTCGTGAAGGTCTTGTATGTCTTTGACGTTTAACAAGGTTAGCGATCTTTAAAGACATTTAACATCGGAACAGCCGTGCAAATTGAATGTTTGCATGTCAGTTCTAACACAATGACTCTTTTATTGAAAAAACAACAACCGAACACTAGTCTTAGAGAACCTCATAGAATTTTGCGTGCTTTAACTTCAAAAATGACAATAAAACAGATGAAATATCAAAGTGGAATTATTTTTTTTATCTGTATAATAAAAACAGTGTGTTTGCGATGGTTTATGTTCATGTGGATCAAGGGATCAGAAACATTTATTCAGCGCTCCTTAAATTAGTGAAAGAAGACATAGGAAGAACATGGTTAGTTAAGAACTTCAAGAATGCCGATCAAACAATGTTTGAATAATATGCTTATCTGGCGTCCATCCTATTGGTGGCGTAATGTAGATTAACTATCATGGCGTAGTAGTCATCCCGATTAATATTGCTTCTACAGAAAAGGTTTACCCTTCATTGCAATGTATCCTGCAGTGTGTACTATAAGAGTGGTTAGCGGGTTCATTGAGGAAAATATAAAGGACGTCTTAATACAGACTCGACACACTTTTAACCACGGTGAATGGATCCGTTTATACTGAAACAACATTCCCTGTTCCCAGAGGAACAATCAAATCTGTATTTCAGCGTTAGAAGATTTTGCATTTCCACACCACACTATTTAGGTTTTCATCATAAATGGTCAAAATCGGATGATAGGTTTGCGTGTGAAGTTGTTTAAGGCCGCACTCAGCTACATTCCTGCTACATGGCGGCGGTCTGTAAATAATCCAGTGATTAACAGCATGAGCATCAATCTACGGAACTTGGGTACGATGACTCATGTTAACCAAGTCAAGGAGTCTGACCACCCGATCCCGTGAGTCGCCTTGAGCATGGGTTGCTGAAGACCAATTCTAACCCGGATCTTCACGGGTCTGGACGATAGGGTAAAAGGATCTGTGCGACAGTCAATAGGAAAATGAGT